ATTTTGAAAAAATAGAGTGAACAGTATTTATTTTTCAGTTGGGAATATATTATGTTATAATCCTAATTTCTAATTTTTACTATAGACGGATGAATAATATAAGAAGAATTTTCTATTTCAAGTCATGATCTTTCATTCTGAGGATATGAGTGTGAGGAAATAAGAGATCAACATCCACACACTCGACTTTCACATCACAACGATATTATTTTTGACTAAAATAGAATTCATAAAGTCGATGTTCCTGATTTAATTCGGTCTATAGATTCTTCAAATAGCTCGAGAGTTTTAGATTAATATATACTTATAGACTGTAAAATTACTTGAAGATGGCCTTTAATTATTTACTTCTGATTGTCCAAAGGCGTGAAAATTTTCAAATCATTACATTTTCTAGGGTCTTAAATATTTTTCTTGCTTTGGAACGAAAATCGATAAAGTAGACACTTTTCACTTGCACGAAGTAACTTGAGATTGTGGGTGTGGATCATGTCTTTACTTTATTTCACACCCGCATCCACACTCCGAATCCTGGATAACATATATCAGTGGACGTATGACTGAAGCATACATGTGATTGTCATTATCTTTTTGTCGAACTGATTATCATGATAAATGTTCTAATCATAGATAAATTGATGTATATTTGTCTAGCATTACTCACTTTTTGCAATGTGCAACCCAACAGAATACGGAAGACTTCTTGGTCACGATTCAACGAAGCTTTGCAGCCGGTATGATCCGACAAGCGAGATTTTCATGCAGACTGATTTATTTTCAGGTTTAAAGAAAACAGTTACATTTTTCTTTTTACGTCTTCAATCTTGCTTTGCACAGCGACAATATATGAATGCGTTGGAGGCAATGATTGTTTCCAAATTTCTTGGGCTTTTTGATAATATGAAAGTGCTTCTGTGTACTTACCCATGTTATCATAGACCAAACCGATGTTGTTATAAGAACCACCTAAGTGTGGATGATGTGAAGGAAGAGTTTCCTGGCTAATCTTCAGATCTTTTTCGTAATATAAAAGTGCTTTTGAGTACTCGCCCATATTCCTATACACCATACCAATGTTATTGTAGGAAGTTGCGAAATCGGGATGATTCGGAGGGAGAGCTCTGTTTTGGATTTCAAGTGACTGTTCGTAAAATATAAGTGCTTTTGAATACACGCCCATATTATCATATATCATGCCAATGTTGTTATAAGAGGTAGCCAAATCGGGATGATTTGGAGGGAGAGCCACTTTCTGGATTTCAAGTGATTGTTCATAGAATGAAAGTGCTTTCGAATATTCACCCATATTATAATACACCGTACCAATGTTGTTGTAGGAAGTGGTCAGGTCGGGATGATTTGGGCGGAGAGCTATTTTCTGGATTTCAAGTGATTTTTCGCAGAATGAAAGTGCTTTCGCATACTCGCCCATATTAGCATATACTAAACCAATGTTATTGTAGGAACTAGCCAATTCGGGATGATTCGGCGGGAGATTTTTCTGAAGGATATCGTGCGACTTTTTGTAAAACTCGATGGCTTCATTGTAATGTCCTAGATTATCTTTTATCAGTCCAAGTTCACTATAATAAAACGCCTCCTCGCTTTCATTAGATGCCCGTTCGAGTAACAGTTTGTATAATTGTTCGGCCTTATCGTTCTCACCTAGTCTCCATAACAATGTACCCATTCGTTCCCATCCTTCTCCAGTGATCTCCTTTCGTATTTTTTTAGTAAGGGCATGGAGTTGTTTGTCGTCATTTTTATTAGTGAGAGTAAGTTTAACTTGCTGTATATTCATGCCATTCGCTCAAATTTCTTCAATTTGTTGAACACGAAAAACTGAATGCGTTGTGAAGAGAATCTCTTTTTCGCTTGGAAACCAACTAATTTCACTGATTCGGGCAAATGGCATATGTGAAACTGACCGATCAATAGTCATTTCGAAAAGAACACCGATTTTGTTCACGTCACTAATAAACGGAGAACTATAACTAACAGCAACACGACGATCCTCACTAGTCGATAGAAAATTATTAAAAGAAACGAGTCCATCTTGTTTTATATTTCTTTCAAAATCCGCTTTGCTCATAGTTTGACCTCGATATACAGTAATTATTGTAGGAGCAGATGCATTGATTGTTTTCGACTGTTCTAAATGAAGCTTTTTGATGTTTCGATGAACATCACGAATGAAAAAACCCATTTTCAGTAGAGCGTGCACTTCTAGAGAACGTAGAGCTTTGTTAACTAATTGATATGTGAAACATTGTCGACTGTACCATCGAATGGCCTTATTTTCGTCAATACTTTTTTGATAATCGGCAGCAAATTCATCGATAAGCTCGCGCTGTTCTTTGTTGTTGACATATTCCTTTTCGTTATGAGCATACTCGACGAGATTGCTAATTTCATTTCGTTCGTCGAAATCTATTTCAAGAATAATTTCTTTCAAGAGTTGCGTATACATAAACGATGGTTCAATTTGATTCAATGACGATACACCAGTTATTCTAATATCATCTTGGTCACATTGTTGAGCAGATCGTCGGACCATATCACAAACTGCAGTAATTTCGGTGAAAATACCTTTTACTTTGGGCCAGCCGTTTGCCCATTCTTCATATTTTTCTTGTTGTCGACAAAAGATATAAATTGAATGTAGGTGTATCATATCATGAACACGTGGTACAACACTTTCACATAGAGCTCCTGAAATAACGAGGAGCCAGTTTTTGTTTTGTGGATTTGACACGTATCTCATAAATTCATGTGCATCGCGAAATATTTGAATTGTATTTATTGTTCGCCGTAATTGTTTGATAGAATTGAGATACTCATTGCTGGATTCATCAATGTTTTCGTCAAGCCAAATCAAAAGTAAATTTTGAATAATATCATTTGTATCAATTGGATTGTCCCGCATTGGAATGAAGCGATTTGACTCGAATGGCTTATTCAATAAATTAGAGAACGATAATGGTGATGGTGATGATGGTGTAACTGTTACTTTAACATTAGGTTGAAGAGAATTTTCGAGAGAATTCGATATTTCTGATGCACCACAACCCATATTGATTGATTAATTGATTATAGATATCGTAATAAAATTCTACGATGCATTATTAAACTGAAATCACATATAAATGAAAGTCATTCAACAGCAAAGTTGATACATTGTAATAAAAGTTTTTTTGAATACAAGTTTTTACTCTCAATTAAAGAAATCCATCAGTTATGTTTTTATACAGATATACAGTTGTGAATGAGGGTTTTCTACCCAAGAAACAGAATTAGCAATATACTAAATGAGTGTGCATGCTGCTTTCTTTTCACTCATACACTCATACCCACATTGTACATTATAAGCAAACAGTCACGGTCAAATAGTAATAGGTTAGAACAATAAATAAATTGATACTTACCGAATGCATTGCATCGAAATAAACGCGTTCGTCTCTTCACATAAAGTTTATTTCTTTCTTGTGTTAATGCTGTTTTGATTAGTTGTTGTAGGAGTGTGTAGTTTTTCTTTCTACTAAAGAATTTTTTATCTCGTTTCAAGAGTGCAAAATATGAGTGTCTGTATCAACAAGTAACAACAAAACGAATGCGCTGTCATCGAAAAAAAGAAAAAAAAAATCGAAAAATCACAATGGAGTGAATGTTACTCTTATTCTTATCTAGCTTTTTTTTCTCCTTTGTAGTGAGTATGAGCTGATAGAAGCAGTGTGTTTGAGATCGATAATGCAAAAAAACAAAAAAAAGACATTGATACTGGAGACATGATTTTTTAATGCAGGAGCTACAGTATCATTATTAGTATTTCTTCGTTTCACTGTTTTCTAACAGATTTGACTAGCAGACGG